CCAAATTTGGCACCTTTAGAACTGATGCTGAATGGAATTGCAGATGTCTTTCTCATTTTTTAGCACACAGACCTTGTTTCTACATTAGTGCTGGATTCCTTAAAAAAAAAGCTGTGAAGCTTCTAAATGCAGGATTATTAAGTCACTGTTGTTACCCAGGGTGTCAACAAATTTTCTGACAAATACACTCAAGATCAGCCTTTCCCACAACACTAAGTCTGGTCAGGATTCTCTGCACCTCTTGAGCAAAGAGATCAGTCTTGCAATGCAGTGGTTTTTTATGATGAGAACTAAACTAGAAAGTGCTGAAATACTAGATAAATTGTCTTTGCACTGGTAATTATAGCCAAAGTCAAAATCACCTTTAACCTTACATTTATTAAACTTAATGGAATGAACTGTTACTGCTCTTTACAAGTCAGGTTTTTCCATACTATGAATCATCCTTGCCACTGCTGAATCTTTCAGGCTTTCCAACATCCTTTTAAAAGCAGCATTATATTATAATAGCTGTCTAGCTAATAGTTTATACAGATGTAGTGTCACCTTGCTCCTTTCATTCATTCAAGAACTCTGCAACTGCTATTTGCAATGGGATCGTGCTGGAGCACTTCTTCAATCCCACAGAGTGGTCTTTAGACCCTGTCTGGAATCAGAATTTTCCAAGTTGGGTGTTGTGTCATCCCACAGCCGTCTCCTTTCCTCTGGTCTAGGACATGACTTCATGTGTTGAGCAAGTCCACAGTAGAGCTGGAGAACACAGGATTCTTTTTTTCCTTTCAAAAATACATGCCACTTGAACTTTTAAAATAGGATGGAAAACACTCTCCATTTGGTGTGCTAGGATCTACATTAACATTATTCCTTTCCCTGTAAACTGTTCCCTCTCTGTAAGACAGTTTCCCCTATGCATCCCCACATTTCTCCAGTTACTTGCCCAGAGAGTGGTAATGCTGCAGTCAGGCAGCTGTCAAGGTCTTAAGAGATTATTGGATCACACTGATTTTTTTAAGACCAGCGCATTTCTTTGCAAATAATGTGTGTTCTGGGGATTCACTTAAAAATGTCAATTTACTAAACGCATCCCTTTTATCTGGTATGACTCCTAAGCAAAAGAGTTTTGTGAAAAGAAGGAAAATTAGTCGGAGTGAGGTTTTTTAGAATGAGTGCTGTTTTCAGATCTCAATACAGTTTTGTTCTCATCTGCTTCAGACCTTACCCTTGAACACAAGCATTGCTTTGCTTTCTGTTCCTCCACCTAATTTTCTATTACCAGTGCAGACTTCCCCTGCAGTGCTTGCTGCTGGAAGCAGGAGCTCTGCACCCCCTCAGTTCTCTAACCTGTTTGAAGAGTCATCCTAGTGAACACTGATAGGCTATCACTTAACCCTTTCTTCTTCTCCTTATGTTACCTATTTTTATACAGTTGTTCACATTATCGGCCTCTTATAGGAATGTTTTATTTTCTTACACGCCCGTTATATAAGCAGGAACTTAGAAGATGCAAAAGAAGCTGCACAACACACAGTATTGCACATTGATTAGCTTTAAAATAAATAAGTACTAATTATCAGTCCATAATTTAGGGAGATTAAGGAGTCAGTGGTTTGAGTTAGTGGGACCTTTTCCTAGAGAAAGGTAACTGCACATGGAGTCTTTAATGGAAAACATGAATTACACGTGTAAGAGCAGTACATGAATAACCACTGTGAGTGGGCCTTTCACCCCTGAACTACTGCACTGCCAGACTCAAAGCACAAATAAATTGTGAGGAGCAGATTCAGCCAGCTGTCCACAACTGCATTTACCAGCAAGGTGGCTTTATATGCTCTGGCAAATGTTGTCTTGTGAGCAGGCACACCAAAATGAAGGTTTTTCCTAATTGTTGAGATGCATGCATGTGTGATAGAGGGAGGAGCACTGAAGTCTGGTATGTTCAGTGCAGAATGTGGAGATACTGCCACTACAAGTCATGACTTTGAAGAGTTAGGATGCAAAAGGGATAAATGAATACAGCAACACAAACCACAAAGGGTAAAGATGGGGTGGGTGCAATCATGCCCTTGTGATAGCAAGCGCTGCTATCACAAAAACATAGCAACATTGCAAAGACCTGTGCAATCTCAGTTTTCCAGATGAGTTAACTGTTCGTTTTTTTTTAGCTGCTGTTGATGTAGGAAGGACTTTTCCTAGAGAAAAGGTATTAATTTATATTTTTGTGAATCCCTCATATGCAAAGGATTGCAGTGTTGCAGTTAGAAGCACAGCAGTGTCAGTGCAGGCAGCAAGGAAGAAAGACCTTCACTTAGAGAGGGTAAGCAACCCTTACCTCCCACTTTGCCTGTTTAAGTAAGTGTGAATCAGTAACCAACTTGATTTGCTCACTAGCATTTGTATGTCAAACGCTTAAGTTAACCTTAGAGTAGAAAGAGGGTTATAGCACCATTAGTGGGACAGTAAAGTATCTCACTTCCTCAATAAAAATGCTATTTCGTATTATTTTAAGCTACTTTTATAGTTTTACAAGGTGTTGCTTCCTTTCTAATACAGACATTTCACTCCTACTCCCCACATCAAAAATTCTTCCCTCTACTGCCGTTCACCCAGTGGTAGCCTTCAGTGGTGATGGCAGACTTGCTAGCCTCTTACTCATTTTCTGACCTTGCTGCAACAGATTTCAACAACACAGTCAGCAAATACTGTTGCACTGGCTATGTTAACTACTTCAGTGCTGAGCAGTTTATGGAGAGGCACCCAGCACATCCACTGTGTTTTCAAGTAATGATTTTCTAAGTCAAAAATAGAAGATACTAATACAGCTGTAAACTGATCTATTTCCTAAGCATCTTCTCAAAATCATAGAGAGAAAAATTCCATTTTCAATCCTTGTTTTCAGCAGTAACAGCTATCCTCAGGAAACTCAGACGCCGAGTCTGAAGTCAGGTCAGCAGCTTTCTGAACCGTGGTTTCTGTGAAGGTTTCTGCTTTTTTAGAAATAAAGTGATCCACAGAAGACTCTCCAGTAGATGATCAAAATACAATAACCTTGAAGGAAAACAAGATTATGTCTCTTTTACAGAGAACTCAGATGAATCAACATATTCTGCTTGATTTTTCTGGTTTCTTAGGTCCATCTTGGGAACAACTGACTGAGCAAATTGAAGGCAGCAGAAAAGGTTGATACTTTTTCAGTTTACCACCAGATGCAACTGATTTTTTTTTAAGATGGTAAAATATTTCCAGATTTGCTAAAACATGTTTTGATATTTAGCCTTTTCAGAAAATGAGTGTTCTGAACAACAGGATAAAGCTAACATGGGCTTTGTTGCATGGGATCTTTCCAGTAAAACACCCCAGCTTCTGTTCTTGTTGTATGACAAAAGGATAATTTGAGAGAGAAACACGCTCCCTAGACATGTGCAAAGTTATGTATGCACAAATCATGCACAGCAGTGGGCCCCGCTGTTTAAACAGTAGGAGCAAAAGCTTAAAAAAATAATCACAAAGATGGCAAACTATAGCTTGCATTGCAGATTGCGTGTAAGGAGAAACATCCTTGAAACACTCACTAGGTAAAAAACATTTGAAAGAGAAGAGGACAAAATGCCTGCTGGCTTTTGTGAATTCCCTTTCTTCATACAGACATTTCCAATGGCTGAGTCATGCCAGTTTAATCAGCTCCTACATACTAAATCCCCCTCTGTGCCGTGTTTGCTCATTACTCTGCATGCGTAAGCCCCTCAGCTCTATTACTGGCTAAATATACTTCCCTCACTGGCTGGTTCGTTTTTGTGTGGCTGCACAAAGGGCTGTTCTGGCATAACTGAGGGAGTAACACAGAATTGGAAATAAATGGCAAATGCAGGAGCTCCTGAACATCTCTCTAAAGCAGTAAGCAGGTGAGAAGCATGTTCACAACAAGATGACACAAAGAAATCACTTTTCCCTAGGCACAGGAGGGAATTTATTCTTAATTCATGGTCTGGGATCCTGTTACAGTTAACTGAAATTCAGCATGGTAAGTGAGTGGAGGTGTAACTGAGGTCCCACAGCACACAGCTGTTCAGAGACTCAGCTGAACAATTCAGAGATCACTCTTGCAAGAAGTTTTAATGCTGGCAAATTCACCAGGCTGAACCAAGCCCAAACTGTAGCCCTGCCGCTTGTATGGGCACAGAATCCAATCTGTTTTTCTCAAACAGCCTTCAGAGCAAATTGTAAGATGTCAAGGATAGCAGCAACTCAGTTCCTCCTAATTATCTTTACCTAATACAAGCCAATCATTCAGTTTGGGAACACGTGCAAACAAACACAAAATAGAATAGAAGCTCCACCCTGAAGGCAGGCCACTACCACTACCCTGGGGTTGCAGCAGGATGGAAGAGCTAAGAGGGTTGCATATCTGAAGGGTCTGTCAAGTGTTACATCAGTTAAAAACATTTGTTGTTTGTGAAACTGCCTCTCCTGCATCTGCTGATAAGTAATGTCTGCACCTTGAAGACACCATTGCTTTGTGGTGCTCACTCTCACACAATAAGCACCCCTTGTTTAATCCATGAATAATGATATAAAACAGCAGAATAATCCACCTGAAACCAGTTGTTACCACAGTTAAACTGTTAGTCTATTATCTATCCTCAGGGCTGCCTTTGGGCTCTTAACTGCAGCTAAAACTGATTTTCCTAGGGATTATACTTACATAAGGACCAGAGATAGCCTAAATATGGAGTGTCTGTTACCAGGCAGACCAAGAGGTAAGCACTGAAGCTCTTCATAGCATCTTTGGCATCTTCATAGCAACCTTAACATCCCTATATGTGAATGCTCCTTAAGTACTTGTAAAGGCCATAACTTTGTAAACAAATATTTTCCACAAAAGTCATGCCAAAATAGAAATAATTAGGAAGTGTTTTTATTTCTTTCTTTGAAGCTCCAAACAGATTTAATTAAAATAATCAAAAAAGTTGGTTTCTACTTAGTGGCTTCATTATAAAAAGAACAGCTATAAATAGAAACTGAAGCTGTAGCAGAACAAGATGAGCATTTAGTTCTTGCAGTGAACTCCCTTCAGACTGCTTTAGCAGAGGCCCAGCCATCTCTACTATTTGTTGAAATCCGAGTTCATTGTTTATTCTTCCTGATGAAAAATTAGACACAGACAACATTACTGCTTTTATTACAAAATGGAAATAAATTCAAAAATTGTAAATCTCTGTGTATGTTTTATTAAAAATTAAGTGAACTGATGTCAGATGTGGCTGAGGAAATAGATGAAAAAGATAAGGAAGAAGACAGCGAATAGTCATTATTTGTCACTGATGCTTTCTCTTCGTATTTTGGTGGTGATCCAGAAGAAAGGTATAGCATTGGTAAAATATCTGAAGGTGAGCTGCTTCCAGAAATTGTATATATGGAGTCATAGTCTCTAGCAGCAACTGTTCTTTCATCATCAGCAAGCTGTGCTCTGTAAAACACAAAACTATGTATTAGCATAATTCATTTATCTACAGTGAGTGAAATTTGTCTTGATTTATATAAACATACATGTATGCACACACTTCCTAAAAATCCCTGAAGCAAAGAACTTGCATAAGCATTAAGATTTCATTCTGTGGGCTACATTATGACTCTTCATATGGAAAGTCTATAATTTCAGAGGGGAAGGGCAAAACAAGCTCCCATCTAACCTTTCAGATCACCAGTCACAGCCTGGCTTATAGGTATTAGCTGCTTTTGGCTGTGCTGTTTCACAATCTTACTAAATCTTCTGATCCCTAGTTCCTAATGTATCTTCCTTTTTGTAGTGTACAACATACACGGTCCCCCTCCTTTATGAAAGACAGTTACTAGACTTAGAACTGCATCCAAAAAAAAATCACAATCCCTAGCCTTTTGAGATCTTACATGAAAGACAATAAAACTTTTACTAGGCATTCCAGCAATCCATAGCAGACATAAGGAGTGGTATTCCCACTCATAGCTGGAGAAACAGAAGTGACTGGACATTACCAGATTGCAAAATTCCCAGTGACATTCAAAGTGAGCAGCCAAGTAAGTATTCCCTGTCCTCCTCTAACCATCTTAAATGGATCACAATTGGTTGAACCCACATTGTTCTCATACTTTGCTCATCTCACCCTGGAGCTCAGCATATTGCTTCAGCTGCTTCCCAAGGAAAGGAACACCTGCTTGCTCCTTATGATTCAATCCCAGAGCTGACTCATACTTCTGTATCCATATAAATACTGAGTGAGGAGCACAAATACAGAGCACAGTCACCTCATCTTCAATGCTGTTACTGGTTTGTGAGGATTTTCAAAGGAGAGGAAAATACAAGACAAATGCTGAGGTGCTATGTAACAGATTGCAGGAAAAATGCAAGCAATTCTGGGATGAGACCATGACTCAGCTTACTAACAGCTCTCTCATCCAACACAGGCTGCAGCACAGTGTTTGCTGACAAACACTGAACAATGGATTGAAAAGGCAAATCACCTTTGTCCAGCAGCCACCAACATATGAAATGTGTATCTCCCGCTGTATTTGGGATCTTCAACCGTGGCACTGTTATGAACAACAAGGCCATTGCTTCTCTTCCATGAAAGTGCTCAGGAAGCAACTTGCACTAATCAAGACACCCTAACTGCCAACAAGTGCTGAGCCATGAGAGAGCAGGACTGAGTGAAACATCCAGAGGTGGTATCAGCTCAGCAGGTCTCTGTGAGGACACTGGGAAGCATGGAAGGGCACCAGTTAGAACATCTCCATCAGAAAACACCACAGGGCAAGGTCAGGCATTCTGGGTTCTGTATCCAAGCCTGAGGTGTTTTAACCGCTCCATTAGATACTATCCCAACAAACTGCCTCTTTATGTACATATGTTCACAAGACAAAGAAATCCACACAAGCCTTAAACTATATCCACATGATTTTCCAGGGATGGTGACTCCACCACTTCTCCTGAGCAGCCTGTTCCAATGCTTTACAAACCTTCTTGCAAAAAAAAAACCCCTTCCTAACAGCTAAGATAAACCTTTCCTGGCACAGCTTAAGGCCATATCCTCTTGACCAGCAAACTTGTTATCTAGCAGAAGAGGCCAATACCCATCTTGCCACAACCTCCTTTCCAGCAATTGAAGAGAACAATAAGGTCAAGCCTCCTTTTCTCCAGACTGAAAAACTCCAGCTCCCTCAGCAACTCCTCACATGACTTGTGCTTCTGATCCTTCACCAGCTGTGCTGATCTTCTTTTGTCACACTCCAGAACCTCAGTGTCTTTCTCATCAAGAAGGACCCAAAACTGAACCACAGAATCATAGAACAGCCTATAAGTTAGAAGGGATGTTGAAGATCATCTATTTCCAACCTCCCATGCCTTGGGCAGGGACATCTTTCACTAGACCAGGTTGCTCAGAACCCCATCTAATCTGGCATTAAACACTTCTACATATGGGACATCCACAACTTCTCTGGACAATCTGTTCCAGTATCTAACCACTCTTACAGTAACGAAATTCTTCCTAATATCTACTCTAAAATTTCTTTCAGTTTGAAACCAATCTCCCTTGTCCCGTCACTACACGCTCTTGGAAAAAGTCCTTCTCCTTCTTGTAGTCTCCCTTCAGGCATTGGAAGACTGCAATTAGTTCACCTTGAAGCCTTCTCTTTCATAGGCTGAACAAACCTAATTCTCCTAGCCTTTCCTCACAGGAGAGGTACTGCAGACCTCTGTCATCTTGGTGGCCTCTTCTGGACTCCCTCCAGCAGCTCCATATCCTTCCTGTGCTGGGCCCCAGAGCTGCTGCAGCCCTGCAGATGAGATCTCAGCAGAGCAGAGCAGAGGGGCAGAATCCCCTCCCTGGCCCTGCTGCCCACACTGCTCTGGATGCAGCCCAGGACACGTGTGGCTCTCTGGGCTGGCAGTGCCCCTGGCTGGGTCATGTCCAGCCTCTCAGCCACCAGCACCCCCAAGTCCTTCTGGGCAGGGCTGCTGTGATCTGTCCATCCCCAGCCTGTGCTGGTAGCAGGGCTGCTCTTATCTAGGTGCAGCACTGTCATGGATTGACTCTGGCACAGTGCCAGTGCCCCCATGAACTTGCACTTGATCTTGTTAAAACACTTTTAGATTACCATAAATTAATATAGATGACCATAAATTACTATAGATTACCATAGACCCAGGCCTCCATCCTGTCCAGGTCCCTCTGGATAGCATCCCATACTTCAAATCTGACAACTACACCACTCAGCTTGGTGTCATCTGCAAATCCATTTGTATATGTCATTAATAAGATATTTAATAACACTGGTCTGAATATGGACCCCTGAGGGACACAACTTCTCACTGAAGTCCACTGGGTCTCTGACCACCACACTCTGGATGTGACTGTCAAACCAATTCCTCATCCACAGAATCCACCCACTGAGTCTATTTCTCTCCAATCAAGAGAGAAGGATGTTGTGGGGGACTATGCCAAAGGCTTTACAGTAAAATAAAGATAAATGACATCTGTAACCCTTCCCTTGTCCACTGATGTCATCACCCCATCACAGAAGGCCACTTGATCAGGCAGGATCTGCCCTTGATGCAGTTCTGTTGTCTGTCCTGAATCACCTCTATGTCCTACACATGCACAGCTCTAGGGGCATCTGTTCCACAATCTTCCCAGGCAGAGGTAGGGCTGACAGGTGAGTATTTCTCAGTATTCCTCCTTTCTACTCTTCTTAAAGGTGAGTTCAAAGTTTTCCCCTTTTTCCAGTCACCTGGGTCTTGCCCTGACTGCAATAACTTTTCAAATATCAGGGAGAGTGGCTTGGCAACTACATATGACTGACATCTACTGACAATTCCCTCAGGACTCTGGGATGTAGATCATTGGGTCCCACAGACTTATGTACATTCCAATTCCTCAGATAGCCATGAACCTGATCTTCCCTTTCAGTGGGAGGGACTTCGCTTCCTGAGTCCCCATCCTGCTGTCCATCCACCCCTGAATGGGATGGACATTCAAGACAGAGGTAAAAAAGTTATTGAGTACCTCAGGCTTCTCATCCACTGTCACCATTTTTCCAGCATTGTTCAATCGGGGGATATCCTTTCTTTGACCTTCCATTTCTGGTTAATGCACTGTACCTGTAGAAGTGCTTCCTGTTATTCTTTGCATCCCTTGCCAGGTTCAGTTCCAGTTTTGCCTTGGCATTCCTCATGGCCTCCCTAAACAATGGTACTTCATCTCTAAACTCTTCCTAGGTCACCTGTCCTGGTTTCTTTCCCTTAACTTTGACCAGCAAGTTCCTACTGAGCCATGATGGTCTCTTGCCCTCCTTGTCTGATTTCTTGCCCCTAGGGATTTACAGCTCTCGTGCTCTGTGGAAGAGTTGCTTAAAGATCTGCCAGCTCTCTTCTACTCCCTTGTCCCTGAGGGCAGTCTGTCAGGAGATCCCACTGACTAGGTTCCCAACAGACTGGAAGTCTCTTTCCTAAAGTTGAAGAGCTGAACTCCTGACCCAACCGCTATCCTTCAGGGCTGCACACTCCAGCAGTGCATGACCCCTGCAGCCCAGGCTGCCTCCAGTCCTGGTGTCCCAGTTAGCTCACTTGCATTGGTGACCAACCATCCTGTACCACATTCCCTCTGGCAGGGCTGTCTGTCACCTGGCTCAGTAAGTTATCCTCCACGCATTCCAGGAGTCTCCTGGATTGCCACAGTCCTCCAAGCTACATTCCCAACAGCTGCTGGGCTGGCTGAGTTCCCCTGCAGGACACAATCCTCGGGCACAAGGCCTCCTGTGCTGGAGCAAAGGTTTGGTCAATGGGCTGCCCTTGGTCAGGCGGCTGTAGCAGACCCCAGCCAAAGGCTCCCCTTGCTGCCTTGGTCCCTGACTCCTACCCACAGCTTTCCACCACATGCTCATGGGTATTCTTCAGGGACAGCTCTTCACATTCAATCCACCTCTTGCTGTAAAGAGCAATCCCTCTGCCTCTACTTTTCCTCTCTCTTCTGAACAGCCTGCAGCTATTAAAAGTCACACTCCAGCAACAGGATTCATCCCACAAAGTTTCAGGAATGGCAACAAAGTCATAGCCTTCCAGCAGCACAGTGGCTTACAACTGCTTCAGTTTGTTGCCTATGCTATGTGCATTGGTGTATAGGCACCTTAGCTGAGATGCTGGCCATGTTGCCTTCCTAGAGGAAGTTCGTTTGAGATAGTTCTCCAGTGCTTTCCTCCTGGCTTCTGTTCCCTTAGAAGCCCATGCCTCAGCTGTGTAAGACTGCAAGCATGTTCCAGTGTGGCCAGCACAGTCCAGATTCAGCAGCAGAGGACCCCTGCAAGCATCTTGTTCTTCTAATCTTTGCCTCCCATCCCACAGGTTGCCAGAAACAAGCCACTTATTATCCCCCTCCCCTTGAACAGATGATTCAGATGCCCTGGTCCCACTGGCCACCCTACTGTTGATACAAGCCTGGATGCAACACACTGCCTTGGCCACCCAGACACACTGATGGGTCACGTTTAGGTGGTGATGACCACCATTCCCAAGTCCTTTCCTGCCAGACAACTTTCCACACACTCATCACCAACAGCAGTGATGGTGCTTCCAACTGTTACCAAACCAGTTATAGTTCTGTAAAAGGTCTACATAGCAGTAGGGGAAGACGTTGGAAAATTCTTTTAACTTTAGCATAATAAGTGTACTATCCCTATATTCATGGTATATGAATATATACCATGCTTAGTTTTCTCCCATACAATGTGGAAACCCAGGGCACCAGGAATATTTTTCCATCTGCTCTGGGGGATCCTGACACCCAGGAGAGCACTGCCTTTGACCCTCATTCATGGAGAAAGTTTCCTAGAATTCAAGATAGACTAGAATCCACAAAAGTGTGAAACAGATTATAGAGAGTAGTGTAGGTGTATCACTTGGTGAGAAATTTAGGTTTTGGGATTTTTAGTATGTTGTGGATGAAAGCAAGATGGAGGGCACAGGGTGTTGTCCTGGGTTTCTTCTTCAAGCTTCTTTCTTCTTCTTGGGTTTGGGTGGCACTCTATAAGTGGGCAGAAAAGTCCGCATTGCGTGCCCTTTGGGTTCAGTTATTGGGTTAAAATGGCAAATAATCTAGGTGTCAGTTCTTAATTAGATAGTTTAGTCTTAAAAGACCTTGTAACACGAGATAGTTAGCCATTTTGTGCCTTCTAATGAAAAGCTGCCGAACTCATGGTTGTGAGACTGTTTTACTGATAAGAAATAATAAACACTTGAGTCCGAACATGAACTACTGTCTCAATGCCTTCAATCCAGACCCAGAGAAGCTGATAATACAGTGCTTAGTACAAATACAGAGACTATTGCAGTCTTGTGTTAATTCCCTACATCTCTGACTAATGTCTTGTTCCAGTTAATGCTTCCTTTTATCAGTAATTAATATGTAGTAGCTGATATCTTAGTTTTGAGAAAAAGGATTGTATGTCAGAGCAAACAATAGTAAGAGAAGTACATTATGATCTGATGACTGATTTGAGACACTCTCATGGAGAAATGATTCATCAGAAGATCTGGAACCATATCCAAACAAGTCCACGGAAATAATTAGCATATATATATATATGTTTCAGGAAATGTGATGAACATGTATTCGTTTCAGGAATATTAGTTTAGTTTGAATATTATTAGTTTCAGGTCTGTCAGGTTACTGAGCATACATGCTGTGTGAATTACCCATGCCTCTAGCACTGCTAATAATCTAATGCTGGCTTTGTAACCTAACAAATTGGTCAGAGAGTTTACTTCCCGGTTTCCAGTGACACAATGTTGCATGCAGTCTCGTGAATTAAAGTCATAAAATGATAGTCCCACATAACTTTCTGACTCACAGCTGAAACCCAGGCTGATGTAGGGCCATTCTAAAGATATTAAATCAAGTCGTTTCTGAATCATTAAGGGCCTGAAAAATAAGTTAGGGACTCTAGACATGTGACACCTAGCTCTGACTTCTAGTATGTGGCCCTTGCAGTGACGTCTTTGACCCTCAAGTGAGCAGCCTACTGGTGGTAACCCACAGGGGACAAATAACCCTGCAACTTGGCACAGGCAAGTCTTTGGTAAGCTGGCAGCTCCTGCTCCCTGAGTTTGGTGGTGTCAATATCAGGCAATTCTGTTATAATCCATGTATGTAAGGGTCCATGCTTGCAAGGGTAAGGTACAACATCTTGAAATGAAACTGGCTTTGCAGCCTCCCTTATCAGCGTGCTGGAGTCTTCTGTGATACCAAGGAATCCTTTAATCTCAACACATGGCCACAGCAGGAATAAGGTCGACCAGCACCCCGAGTCCCACTTCCTCAAGGCAGAGATAAGGGACATGGGAGAACTGAACACATTGGCAGATAAAGTAACATTCCCAGGGGCTGTGGGTAGATGTCATAAAATACTTGCAGCTCTGTTTCTACAGACACTCCTAAAATCTGGCAATATGAATATCATGTCACTACCACACTGCTGTCAGTGGCATCCTCTCTTGGTCCATCTGTAGAAGAAATCTACTATGGGGCATTGATTTAAGAACTCCAGAAGTTCTTTCCAGTCATAATAATAATAATTTAATCCTCATAAAGGACACTCTGCCGTTTGTAGTTCCCCTAGTATACAACAGTATTTTAATGCCAATTCAAGTAAAGTATCTGAAGTAAGTTGAGTTATGCATGAGAAAACTTTGTCATGCCTGTTAATTCACAGTGATTATATAAGAACAGGGATACCTAAAGAAACAGCTCAGATTTCTAAACTCAGAGATGAACAGCCTTACCCATCACTGAAGATAGAGTGGTATGGTGGTGGATTTTCACTTGTAGGCAAAACACTTGACATAAGACAATGAGTCACAGTTGGTGACATAGGGTCAGCAAAATAAGGAGGTGGTGGGGGTGGGAATACCATCACAGCATCACCTAGGGGAAAGAACACCAATTACCTCTGAAGAACTGAGCACCTCTGTTTATATTAACAACATCCTATACCTTGCCTAGCTTTTAAGATAAATGATCCCGCATACAGAATTGATACATGCTAGGCTGTTGGAGTAGATTGGAGGTACATTCAAAACCTAAATAATCCCAAAATAAAGATGTAGCATATTTATAAATAAAGGATTTAATTTAGACAATACAGCTGAGAAGGGGGAAGTGTTTATCTAGCTAAGAAACACAAATACGGTTGGCTGTCTACAAGAAGCTGAAGTGCAAAGCACATAGTTACTGTTGAAACGTTTTAAGGATAGAAAAGTATTTAGAATTACTCATTTTATTTTTGGGAGGGAAACTAAGTTTCTCCATAAGTACTGCAGTGCTGTAACAGAAGTCATTAATGGCTCTGAGAATTGATTTTGTGCACTGTGACAGTTTCCCTACTAAGTTTCTTGTAGTTCAAGCACACAAACCACAACTATTGATACATCAATATATCGTACAGCAAAAGATCTACCAATTTCCACTCTAACTGCAGAGTTTAAAACTCGTAATTATATCTCTTACCAACTCAGGATGTGGCCACAATTTAAAAAATACAGTACATTGGTTATGAATCAGAATCTTCTGTTTAAGGGGTCAGAGCTCAAGGCTAAAATAGATCTTAAATATAGTCACACAAGTCTGATCTGCAGTGTCAATTACACAGTTTGTAACTATCTAACCCCATTTCTGTTTGAGAACAGAACTGGGGTTAGATTCATTTGTTTCAGGTTATGTTGCTTTACACAGTCAGACCTTACCTTTTATGCCAAAGAGAGACTTTCCGCCTTTTTGAGAAAGGTAACTGAACTGACCATACAGAAAGCATACGAGACAAAGTAACATTATTCTATTTCAGCTGTCCTGATATGGCAGAACTGACATGCTTAGAGCTCATACTAAGTAAGTCATAATAATAAATAAGTAATACCCAGGTATAAATTAATTAGTGGGGAAAAAACTCCACTAATTCCCAGCGTAAAGTTCTATCGTTTTTTACTTACCTACTGTGACCTGAAAAGATTCAGGGCTCTGACGATGTTCTTCATTTTCACAGGATTCTTGGTTGAGATTTAAGTTTTGCTTTTTTTTAACATGAGCTATCACGAAGAAACACAACCCAGTGAGCACAATCAAAGGTCCCAAGATTTGAAGTGACAGGAATCCACAGCCCTGGAGGTCTATGTCAGAAGTGCCAGTGTGGTTGAGCTGTACTGTATGCCAGCCAGGGCTGCAACCAGGAACCCAAATGCCCAGGATGCTAATTAACATTCCACTAGTTAAAAACAGGAATCCAAATATGAGAAACTGGGCAAACTGACAGTTCCCATGACAAAAAACAAGGCTGTACACCTGCTCATTTTGCAATTGTCTTTGTCTTATATACATCCTGGCCCTTGATCGTGCCAGTAAAACACAAATCAGTCCAGTTACAGCCAGCACTGGCCCAGCAGCTTTAAGGACATCATTACAGTCATTGAAGCTTCCAGATGGACATGACTGGAGAAGAAAGACTGAAAGAAGGAATCCAGCACAGAGCAACACAGCTCCAAAAATAAAAAGGAAAAAAATAAGTTTCCCATGTTGTCCACTACTTCCTTCACCTGCTGGTGCAGGAAGAGCCACTGGATACATTACAACAGTATCTCCTCAAGCAGATGAGTTGTTAGAATTAAATGGCAGCAAGCTACAGTAGATCTGTGAACATGAAAGAAGAAAACAACCCAGCAAGATTAGCTACATGATAATTCTTACTTTCAAATCTGTTACTCAGCCTGTATTTTCTGTTTTGCAGTACCTCCACTATGGATTACAGGGCCTACTCAAGTTTGCTGATATTACATGTCAATGGAAAGACAGAACTTGCTTTACAGTTCAACTTAAACATACTGTAACTGCTGTTGCACAGCTAAATTAATGGTTTCTTTAGAGAAATAGTCTTATGATTAATGGGACCTTATTTTGAAAGGTCGAATATTTGGAACAAGAACAGGTTAGCTTTTCCCTGAAAAGAGAAAGCTACAGGAAATTTCTGTGCTGAACTGCAGGAAGTGACAGCTTGTGAGAGATAGTATGTTAATGCAAACGAGCAATGACTACTGGACTTCTTAACCAAGTAAATCTTCTATTACATACCTCCTCAAAGCATACAAATCTTGCTTCTCTTTCCACGTGCAGTAAAGACCTTTCTGCTTCTCTCTTTAAATGAGCTTCCTGTTCTACACTGCTACAAAAGCAAATACTGAGATGATTTTTGGTTCTGTTCTGAAATAAAACAAAAAAAAAAAAAAAAAGAAAATAAAAAACCAAAGACCAGTTCAAGTCTCACTGATTTCATAGTTAGAGTTAATAAGCATAGTGCTTCTACATTTCCTTTCAACTCCCCCTACTTCTGAGAACTTTGTCTTTGCTCGAATGATCTTTAAAAATAAATTAATGAAGGTGACTCCCAGAAGGCTTCTGAGCCCACAAGACTCTAGATTCAGAAGTAAAATAGAAGAAAACAAAACAGCTTTGAGGCCAATAATAGCCCATATGGTCATAGGGATAACCAATCAGCTGGATGTGGATTTACTGGGGCGAGGGAAGCCTGACTGAAAGTTAGGACAGAGTTCCAGTCAGTAAGCTCTGGTACAAAAAACCACCAAACTCTGCTGTTACCTACAAGGAAATTTCTGCTACTCTGACACTCTGGCCTACAGAGCCAGATGGACACTAGCCACCAGATGGTGACTAGCAACCATAGAAATCTTGGCTAACATCCATCAAATGCCAACCTGAAATGCAGGGTAAGTTCGGACTATGGAAAATAACAAATCTCACGGACAGACCAAGAGAAAGCTATTCCCTACCAAGCAGGAAGTACTTAGGCATGCTTAGGCTGCAGTGTTCTGACACTGCCCTCTCCCCCTCATCAGCAGTCGCCCATGACAGACAATTTCACCTACGTCTTGGATATATAAGGGCTGATATGTAGGGACTGGTGGAGATTGTCATGGACAGAAACAGGGAACCAGCTTAGTTACTGCTGTTACAGCTGTTTGTTAGTTACCTTCAGCCTTTTCTCTACCAGCTTCTACTGTCCTGCAACTAATTCAGATGACTTGAAGATAAAACATCAAATCAGACTGGATCCTCATTACAGATGCCTCTTGTACACTTATTCCACAAGAAAAACAAGGTACTATGTGATTTATGGAAGCAAACTGTTGAACATGTGTCAGCCAAAACAAAGTTTGTGTCACTCGCCAGTAACTGCACTGCCCACTGGGATGAAAACAAAACACAACCATAGAACCCACTAGTGACTCAAACACATAATGATTTACCGGCAATGCAAGGCAATCTGAATCACTACTCAGTCACTTTTAAGTGTAGAATCCAGTTAAAGAACTGGCTGAGCAGATACATGAATGATGAACTTATTACATGTTCTACTGCTGAACATCAAACCAGCCCCCCCAAGAGCACAGGTGAATGCAGAGTACATCACACAGGTGAAAGGCTCAATAAGCACAGGATCTGAGAGGCAAGGAAACACAGCAAGGTGGCCATGCAGGAAACAACCAAGTCTATTAGCTGGCCACCTTCAACAGCAAAACTGAGGGACCACCCCTTAATGCATCTCATTACTGCGCACAGTTAACTTGTAAACTCTGACTGCTAAGTGCTTCTTCAGTGTTTTGAATTCAGTCTGCTGAGAACCCTCTACTAAGACGGGTTTGAAAAATTGCTAACTGAGGGTCCCTTGGTAGAAGAGTAGATTCACTCCGGGGGGAAAAAAAATAATAAAGAGCGCTAAAGATAGGACGGCACATCATGAAAAAAAAAAAACCAAAAAAAATAAACAAATTAAAAAAAAAAAAAAACAAAAAAAAACAAGAAAAAAACCCTAAAAAGATTAACATATCCTGATTGATTTCAAACTGAAGATGTTTAGCCCATTACACTTTCACTACTGCATGAGCTGAAGTCAGTCTGAAGGCTCTACTTCTGGGCAGAAAACATGGACTGAGTGGTCACCTCTTTGATTTCAGTGGTCTTTGCTAAGTTAACAAAATTCTTTCTGATAACTGTATATGCCCCATTCTTATAAATTATCTGAGCTGGCTCAGGTTTCCTGACTTACTAAATGTACATAGCTGAGTAAAACACCTCTGAAACACACACACACAAACACATATACATAAATAAATCCAGCAAAGCCTGGTTTCAGACACAACCATCTCGAGATACTCTTCTGCAGAGGTACATTAACTATTATAACACCAACACTCTACAGAGAGCTCTGAATCCTTTCTTTACAGTTCCCTCTAGGGAAGAAAACACAGTCTTAAATACAAGCAAATCAAAACAAAATGAAATAATGTGAAGGCAAAAAGGAAAGTAAATTGAAATATATATCCATTACAAAGAAAAGTCTAGAGACTTGTCCTCTTAACTCCATCACAGTGCCTGCTTGTCTTCCACCAATCTTGCTGTTATGAGATTAAGCTAAAACACACATTAGAAATTAAACATGTACACATTTTCTTCATTCTTTCAGGCCACAAAGAAGGAATATTCAGAACAGTCCTGTGGCTTCGAAGATGAAAGCCATAGATTTTATGCTGGAAAATCCAACGGAGGACTAATTTTCATTTACACCACCATGAAATTTTATCAGAAGCTCAAAGCAAGATTAAATTTATTTCCTGTGTTTCAAGAAAAAGTATTTTAACAAAGAGGCAAGTATTTTATTGTCTACGTGCGTGAAATACTGCCACTAGATCTCACATCTCCACAGGCATATTGATGTAAAGGAATTTTCCCTTCATATTAAACTCAAGTCTGAAAGCAGACATGGAAATAACATCTCAGAAAGCATTATAACATAGCCTAGTAGTGCAGAAGCTGTTAAGTATGACAGGAAGAGGGAATTGGAAACATAGCTTATAAAGAAGTCTGGTTATAACCTCAACTTAAATGATATAGTGCTTTACCTTTTTGTAAGTCAGGCCTGTGCCAGGTATATAGAACAGGAAATAACTTCACAATTTCTTGTCATTTTTCTGTGTAACACTCATATTACAACTTTCACATTACGGACAGCTCCACTAAAAAAATACTTCCACTACAATTCTTCTTGAGCCTTCAGAATTCATCTTTTCCAAGATTTCCACTGCAAACATCAGGGCTATTAATTTACTCCCCTTAATCTTATGAAATTTGATAGCTTCATGCAGACATTATGAATTCAAGAAGAGAATTAAAGAAAAGCATTGTAAGAATGAAAACACTGCTGCCCCTCTGTTTCATCCTTCCCAGAGTAGGTCCTGTTCCCCTTCTTGTTGCTTGCTAAAGCACACAAATAATTTCATGTAGAAGTTTCAGGTGTAGTCTGTGTTATTACAAAAAACTATATACTCTACCAGTTGTAGTCCACAATGGAAATCCCATTAGAATTTACAAGCCATCCTTTGCAAGAACTTGAATTTTTCCATTTTTTCACCTTTGCTTCCACGTTTTGAATCACTACTGGGAAGTTGCCATTGCCACTGTGCGATTATTTTGGTGTTATTTTATTTTTTCCCCTAGGTTTCAAATTAAACCATGACTCCTTATTGGTCAAGCTACTTGTAAGGAAAAATGCTCTCAACTTCATTCAGTTTAACTTCCATACCAAAACATTAATGGCTCCCCATGTCTGAACTTCCTTCTTTGTTCATAGCTGCTTCTATAACCACACCATTTTCTTCATTAAATCCAAGTTTCCACCTGGACTCGACTCTTAACTTGGCATTCAGAGACACTCATCCACAATCACAGCTGGTTAAACTAAATTGTAATGTGCAACCTTCATTCTAACAATCTTCCCTCCCCAGGGTATTTTTAACCACTTATTTGAAGAGCTAGTGGGGAATGCCCAACAGGACATACTTTCAGTTTTCTACTTTTAAAAAACAAAACTACAAGCAATAACAAATTCTGAGATGCCAAATACATGCAATTTGGTCTCTTATGTATGTAGTTACTAATTAGTACCTGACAGTGCTCTTATCTCGCAGAACACAAGACTTAGATACCAGTCTTTTAAGTCTATTAAACAGTGTGTATAAAGATTCCTAAGCTGGGAGTGGATGCCACAAGAACTCTGCTCATAGGGGTCAACAAAATTTTTTTTCAGTTTACAGTATAGGAAGAGTAATACTGTGGTGTTATTTATGACCATTGCAGGTGGGGCAGGAGCCACCTGGAGAAGTACTGGAAAGCAGCTGCAGGAGGAAATTCCAGAAAGTGGGATGAGTCCTGCCACTCTGCAGAGATATGTGCACCAAGGATCTCTCTTACTACAGATCAGCACATATCAGGGATTCTGACTGCGCCAGACAGAGCTGCATTCTGCAAAGCTGCCAATTCCCGTCCCTGTGGGCTACAAGAGAAAAGCAGCTACAGTAAAAGATGGTCCACAGATGTCCCTCACTCACTTCACCAGGAAGAATACTGACACCACAGTTGGACAGGAGGACCCCAAAAGTCTGTTTAACAGTGAGGAGCTTGCAAAGCAAAGCTTGGTAACCCACTGACTGGATGCCATGCAGGCAACTAGGACAGCACCTAGATTCAAAAATGAGCTCTGAAGGTCCCATACCTGTTGGTGGGATGCTTTTTACATGACACACAACTAGCACACAAGAGCTGTGGCAAAGCAGCTCCTATATTCTGGACAACCTGCAGGGAGACCAGGGAGAAAGCAGACCGATAACTGTTAACACCAGAGCTGATGTTTTTCAAACAGGTAACACATGACAGACCAGTTTCTGGAAATTCACAGAAAGGTCTATCCCAGGGGGATGATATCTCAAAGCAGCAAAAGGCACAAGACAAAAAGATTTACAGATCTTTGACCATAGGACAGGCCATGGTGACCATCAGGGAAATTCAGGGCTCCAAAAGCTACCTAAAGCCCTCCTCTCCCAGTTTCCTGAGGCTAGCCTGGGTCATTAAGCCAGACAATTTAACGGACTAACAAGTAAGCTCTACTCCATTTAGGAAAAGCAGCATTCCATGGCACATCCCTCCTCATGCACTAGCCCATCAGGCAGAGTCTATTCTAAGTCACTTAGTCACAGTAAGATCTTCAGGAAGATGAACCATGCCCCAAAAGCTGCCATGTACCATGTCGGAGCAAGGAGCGACGCAGGGCAACCTCTCCATCACCTCTCCTTGACGGAGCAGCTCCCGAACCTTCTCACCTGTGCCGTCCCAGCCGTACGCCAGCATCAGCCACCAGAGTACTGCACGCCAGAATAACTGCAGAAGCTCCTTCTGAGATATTCCCCCCTCCTTCAGGGATGGCGTAGGGGTTGCAGTGCGGAAGCAGTGTGGGGAGCGGTGTGCGCTCCAGAGAGAAGACAAGACACTTACAGCCCGGACAATTCTCACACACACTGGACAAGAGTGAAAACACGGGAATGGCGGCGGCTGCGGGGAGACGCGGCGCGACCCCGCCCGCCCGCGGCGGCCCCTCGCGAAGGCAGCCGGAGGACGAGCCGCCCGCCCGGGCCGCTCCCGAGCCCCGCGGACCGGCCGGGGGCAGCCCCCCCCCCCCCGCCCCGCCACAGCCGCAGGGCCCCGCCGCCGCGAAAGCGCAGTCAGCGAAGAGCTGCAGACACCCGGCCCTTACCTAGCGACGGCGCGGAGCGAAGCAGCGCGACAGGCGCCGCTATTTAAGCACCTGCGGCCGGCGGCGCAGGACAGGGCCGGGCCAGGCCCAGCCGAGCCGCCCCGGGGGGGCGCGGGCGCGGGCGCGGCGGCACCG